ATGTATCAATAAGCATATGGCAAATGAACGTTAACTAATGGCATGAATGGTCATGAATGGTGCACCCCACTAAAACATGTTAGACCTCTATCGGAAAGTGCAGATAGAGAAAATATATTACTGCTGTTCACGCTCATTAAAAATGTAGATAGACAAGATGAAGATTCAGAAATATAAATCACCTTGAAAGTCCACTGAAGCAAAACGGAATACTTCCAGTTTTCTTCCAAAAAACTGCATGGATCATTTATAAGAAAAACTATTAGGTCGTGAAAGAAGAGAACTCTAGATTTCAAGTAAATAACCTACAAACAACATAGTTCACTGAGAAAATTTTGTTTTGCTTATTAACAAGAATTGAGTATAGGTGAAAAGGAGGAAAGTAGTGGGCAATAAAACTGGAATATATTTACTACTTCAAAGTTAGCATAATCTTCAAAATGGCTAGTAGGATGCTTACTAGATCATGATTCCCAAGGTCAGAAAGGCCAAAGGTCTCAAGAATCCTAATTTGTCAATAAATAAGGAAAGAATATGCAGGAAAAATATATTAATTCTCAAAAGCATGATCAGCACATCAATCAATTAGAGTGTGATTCTATAGGAGAAGCTTTTCCTGCCCTTCAAGAAACCAATACATTAATGCTCAAAACCATAAAGTGATCTTGTTTCTTCTATTTTTGAAAGCTTTTGGCTTTTGTGACATCAAAGTATAATGAACTGCTCTTCATAAACTAGAGTGATTCTCTAACAGAAGCTTCTTGAAGCGCAGAAGCTTTTTCTGCCCTTCAAGAAACCAATACATTAATGCTCAAAACCATGAGGTGATCTAGTTTCTTCTATTCTTGAAAGCTTTTGGCTTCTGTGACATCAAAGTATAATGATCCGCTCTTCAATAAACTAAAGTTATTCTCGAACAGAAGTTCAGTCTGCTTATCAATAATACTAGTCACTACTAATAGGATATATTATACCCCCTCAGTTTCGAATTAGAAGTGGTAAAGTCTCTTTACTGTAAACAACTAAAATACAATAGCACATAATGGAGCATATCCAATAGCTAAAAGACATGCCCAAGCTAAACCTTGAGTGAGTACATTCTCATAAACCAAAATCCTAACCCAATTGAATAAAAACTCACATCCCCAGAGGGATAGTACCTTCGACCTGAAACACTATCGGATTGACCTTCAAGACAGGAGGGAGTAAGATCTTTACACTATGCGGCACACAGTCACGCTAAAGAGTCGAACCCGAACTGAAATGAAATCTATACGTGATAAAGTATCAAATAGGTGGGGGGCTGGACTCGGAAACAGCAACTGAAACATCTACTCTGAAAGATAACCTGAAATCAAGTGAATATTCTGACCTGAAATGAAGCACGCTCGGCGGTTTTCCGTTGAAAGAGGCAAGAAACCGACGGAGATGCTGATGACCGGAATCCATTATGACCGTGAAGAGTGAGACTATGAGCTTGCGGCTTTTGGTTAGGGGATAGTCTTGGCACAAGAACTGCAGTACTGATAGTGCTACTAATGTGTGGCGATGGAGGAAAAGGGTGAGAAATGAAAGATGGTTGTACCATTAGCAGCATTCTCCTCCCTCTTGCTCCCTGAATCTGTATACTACGTATATCTTTCTATGCTTTTCTGCCTGTTTTGGGTCCTTCTCCTTTCTTAAGTTCTCAACCCACAAATTTGTCCAGAAAACTTGATACTTCAGAGGCGCTTGTTTTCCACACTTTTATACAGCACTGAAATTGTTTTCCCAAATACCATCGTAATCAGAGTTGTAAACATGCAGTGAACTAGATACTCTATAGAAAATTGTAAGTATTAAAATTGAATTGGGTTTTGCAAATTGTGGATAGGGCAGGAGTTCTTATATCCATCCCATTAAAATTGAGTTAATGGGATAGACTATAGAGTATTGAATATGGATTGTGTGGACTTTTATTAACATTATTATTGTATGGTGTTGAAATCAAATCGAACATATACGATTGGTATATCAATATACTACCTCCGTCTAAAAAAGGTTTATCATTTTATAAAATTTGAACCATTATTATGATTAGCATAACATTTTGGAAGTTATAAATTTTAGGAAAAATTGGCAAAAATAATCACACCTTTTACTGATCTTCTCATAATAATCCTACATTTAGGTAATCTCAAAATAATTCCACATTTGCATCTCATCTTCTTTCGTAGGACCTTGATCGGTTGGTGACTTACTATACCAGATTTTTTGTATTTGTTTTTGGAAAAATTACAAACTACGCATATAATCCCACTTTTCACAAATATGCTCAAAACAATCTCATGTTTCACTTTTTCCTTTATCTCTACAATTTTTTCCTTATTTTATTCATGTACACTTTTTTATTCATTTTTTCATCCTTTTATTCTCATTTCATTCTATTTCTCACTGGAGAGTTTTTTTTTGTAAAATTTCCTTCCCATGCCAAATGCAATTTTTTGTCATTTTCTTTTTTCTTGTCGTATTCTTATTTCATTTCCCTTTTTGTGTTTCTCTTTTTAGTCATTCTCTTTTTATTAAAGATTTTTTCCCACTCTACTTTTTGTTATATTTCATTTACTATTACTTTTTAAAATGTTTATTCTTCTATCTTCTTTTCTTTTTTCTTATTATCTTAATTCCACCATCAATATTTTTTCTCCTTTCTTCATAATCTTATTTTTTTAGTAAATCAACTCATTAATTCTATCATTTGTGGGGAAAACTCTATGTGATAAAAAGATTAGAGAAAACTAAAATTTCAAGAAAAATAAAACATTCGAAAATTCGGGAAAATGTATTTTTTCCTTTCTAACATTTTCTTTCTACATGATAATTTCTCATGTAATTTCACCCATTTTTTTAATTTTTTCCCCTAATCTTTTTGTCACATAGAATTTTCCCATAGTTGATGAAATTAATAAGTGGACTTACTTAGAAAAATACGATTAGAAAGGGGAAAAAATATATTGATGGTAGAGTTAAGATAGCAAGAAGAAAGAAGAAAATACATTAAAAAAAGTAACAAGAAGAAAAAAGGGGATAAGTGAAAATGAAAATAAATTATAACAACAAATAGAGTGGGAAAAAGATCTTTAATAATAAGAGAATGATTAAGAAGAGAAACATATAAAAGAGATATGACATAAAAATACTGAGGAAAAAGAAAATGACAAAAATCTATTTCAGAAGGAAATTTTACAAAAAACACTCCTGACAGAGTGAGAAATAAAATAATAAATATGGAAAAGAAATACGAAGTAAGAACAAAGCGATGGAAAAGGGAATAAAAATTGTCTATGGATAAAAATAACGAGGTAAATGTTTTAGGGAGAAAAAATGAAACATGAGACCCTTTTGTTAAATTTCCTTCCCAAGTCAATTATTTTATTTCACTCTATTAGGAGTGTTTTTTTTGCAAAATTTCCTTCCCAAATGGAAAAATGAATTAAAAAATGTCCATGAATAAAATAATGAAAGAAAAAATTTAGGGAGAAAAGAAAAAATGAAACATGGGCCTGTTTTGAGCAGATTTGTGAAAGGTGAGATTATTTATGTAAGTTTTTCAAAAAAATGCAAAAAAACTGGTATGGTAGATCACCAACCGGTCAGGGTCCAATGAAAGAAGTACAAAGGTGAGATTATTCTGAGAATACGTAAAAGTGAGATTATTATAAGTAAATCTGTCAAAGGTTGGATTACTCTTATCATATTTTCCTAAATTTTATACTTTTAGGGAAGTACTTTTAGCAAAGAACATTTCCAAATAACAAGAAAGCAAAAAAAAAATTCAATGTGTTTGTTTTTTCAATGACCCGGGCCGGGCCCGGGTCATTTTTTTGTTTTTTCAATTTTTTTCTTTTCCTAGGGTAGGGCTGGGTGTTTTGGGGAGGTTTGGGGGTGGAGGGTGGGGGTGAGGGGGGGGTCGGGGGATAACAAGAAAGCAAAAAAATTAGACATTGAACCGGGCCCGGCCCGGTTAGGCCCGGACCCGGTATCAACCCGGATCGATTCTGGGCCCAAGGATTTGCAAAAAAAAACCCGCTCGGGTCCATCCCTAATATAGATAGAGTAATGTTTTTGTCATACTAGAGTGACCGGAATCTTCATCCGGCGGACGCCATTTGTGGGGATCCGTGGTGGATTTTTTAATAAAATTGTTTGAGCATGTTTTTCATGAATTGCAGATTATCTTCACAAAATTTCAGCTTTAAAAGCAATCGGAAATCCGGTTAAATAAATTACCAAAACACATTGTGCAAAAATATGCATAAAAACAGTATTTTCAACAATTTATTTAATTGACTCAGGGTTGGATTTTAAGTTGAAATTTTGTGTGAATGTTCTACACTACATGAAGAACATGTCCACACAATTTCATTAAAATATTCAACCTCAAATGGACTTGACCAAAAGACAGTCCGAACTGACCTCAATATTCCTCTATATATACATATGCATTTACATATATGTGTATGCTCGGGCGTGTGTATAATTAGGCATGACTCAATAGTAAATAGTTGTTCTTTTTAAAATTGAAAATCTAAGTTGCCTTGGTTTGCTATCAGTAGACAGTAGTACGGTGTTATGTTGATTCTTATTTTCTTATCAGAACTTTCATTTTTTGTTGAGCAAATGTGCTAGATTGAAAATGATTTTGTAAAATATTATTATAAATGTATAGGTTAATAATAATAATAATTTGGAATTGTACTAAAAATCTAATATCGAGCACTCTGTTCCGCACCATACCACAACAAAATATCCATACCTAAGCTAAGCTACCATATTGAAAAAAGATTTAGTTTGGTTTATACAATAAATATTGAAATTTGCATATTTCATGTGGTATACCTACCAATGCACGCCCTATATTAGGATATGTTATATGGAGACTTTGTTCAGTTTATTGACAATATTGTACGTGAACAGTGAACGGTGGATGCAGAACATTTTAATTTTAAACCCACATATTATGAAGAGCCAAAATGGATGAAATCATAGTCAAGGGTAAAAGATCACAATTATTAATCCTGCTTTATTTTGATGCATTGTTTCATAAAAGGCTTTTCAAGAAAAACTCATTAGGATAGAATCCGGGTAAACGGAGTACATAATATCTCCAGTTACAATGCCACCTTTTGTCTGACTGTTGGAGGCTGGTATATTCATAGATGGCGACATAGAGGGGCGTGTGACTGGTAGAGGTTAGCTCAATCTCAATGTGCTCAATAAGCCTCCGCAAACCGCTGAGGGTACGACCCTGATGCATGGTACGACCCGTTATGCAATAACATCACCTATTTCATCGGTTACTTGAGATCCTTCTTTAGTCCTGTTGGGCGTTTGGCTGAACTAAAGACATGTGGGCCAAGTTGAACTACTCAGCTCTAGCTGGGCTGGGCCAGGCCTCTTGGACTGTGGTTGGCTGGCTAGCTGCATCTGTTGCTAGGCTTGAGCTGTTGCCTAACCAAGAGTCACGAGCCATGCTTACGAGCTTTGAGCTAACATACGGTCACACACTCTTAGCTTTGACAAGGAGTTGCCCCCTGAAAGTGGTTTTCTACTACATAACCTACAAGCTATAATTTGAGGAGTTCCAAATCCAAGTTAGTGATCAACTGCGGTCTCCTGAGAGTACTTGACCACTCTTGAATTCAAATATCATTAGTGGATGAAATGAAAATGAAAATGAAAGGCATCATTTTAGTCCGCTTCCACCATAAACCCATTGATTCTTCTCCTGCAATTCTACAACGACAATTTTACAAGGAATTAGTGAAACAATGGAAATCATAGCTATTGATAAAAAATATATAATTACAAGATCTGATCAGATATTGTCATTATTCAAATCAGCATTTATGGTAATATTCATAATACTTGTTATTCCGATATATTTGTTATTCAACACTGATTCATTGAGTGAAGGTAACCATTGATTATTTTATTTTATTTTGCAAATTCTAAATACGGAGTACTTCATACTCCGTATTTATTATAGTAGACACTAGATAGCACCAAGGGATAATGTCTTTTTATACTATTAAGTCTCCCTTGACTGTCTTTACTAAGAAAAAAGAAAATAAATGCAGAAAAAGAGAAAATGGGTCAGACTTCTTACTTGATAAATTCCATTAATTTGGAGAGCTTAAAGCCTCATGGGAGGCTGTTTTGCCACATAAAATTTCCCATTTGCTTTGAGGTCATCAATCAAGTTTGAAATAGTTACTGAATCATTACTAGTGTCTCTATCAGATAGCCAGTTGTCATCAAATTGAACATCAACATCACTGCAATATGTTATGTGACTGCAATTAGAATGGCAAGGATTTAGAAGCAAAATATAAGGTTAAACAATGAGAAAAATCGCACGTCTTGAGAGAGAGAATTTGATAGTTTCTACGTAGATAATCTGCATGCTTGGTAAGGGTATCTTGGACATAGGGTCTACCCACAGTCCTCACTGTGGCGGCAGCGAGTAGATTTTCAAGATTCCCATGCTTTCTCAAAAGCTTTAGTGCAGTTTTTCGACCAAATTTAGGAACCACATCCTGAATTCCAGGAACCCCATCAGCTTCATCACCCAACATGGATCCTGAAGGCAACAACTCAAATTGGTGAATGAATTAGACAATAGAATACACCTATTAAATTTGAGCCATTTGTACAACAAAATACAACTAAAGAAAAAATGTGGATTTTTAGTGCATATCATTGATTCTAGCAAGAAATAAAATCTGGTTATCTTTTGTTCATGAAAGACTCCAATCTGTCCGTCCATCAAAACTTTGTCTTGTTTGACTCGAAAACAGATTATGAAAATGAATATTTTGTGGTTGAGATTTTTATTTAGAAGAGAGATCTAGAAACAATGTGTGAAACACAAATTTATTTCCTTTTAAGGCTGTATTTGGATCCCTCAAATTTATTCATTCGAAGCCTATATCAACAAATTTCAATCTTTTAAGTCTTGAATTGATAATTCATCTATCTTTCACGTCCTCGAATGATAAAATTCCAATTGGCAAAGTTTTAGTTGGGACAGAGAGGGTGTTAGATAAGGTCATACACGGACTCAATGTAATAACAAGAACAAAAAATACAAGTGTAAGTAACAAAGAAAACATGACTTACTCAAACTCAAGTCAGACTGTGGATCACAATTGTACTGAGCTTTGTAATGCTTTAAAGTGTAAAACGACCATCTATCTAGCTCAGGCATTGGAATCAAGATTTGAACGTCTTCTGATATCAGTTGCTTGAAATCTTTGTCTGGTGAAGCAATTACAGATTGAAACCCTTTCTGTAGGACTTGTGCCACGAGTGTAGCTACAACATCATCTGCTTCATGTGACTCAATCTTAACAACCTGAATTGTGACCCTTTTTACACTGATTTTCTATTAAAAAATACCGAACAAGCTACAGTAAAACAATCCTCTTCATTATTGGAATCATGATTAAACAGTAGGAAGTCACGGTAAAAAAGCAAAATAGATGCCAAATAGAAATTTTCAACAACACATATTACTTGTTTTTGCAATAAAAATCTAAATCAAGTCATTTTAACAGATATAATACAGGACCGGGTTGGGGTGACTCAACTTCGTCATAAGCCACTTGGTCAAACCGCACTAACAATTGGAGCAGATCTATAAGCTAATTCAACTAAAAGTTTAACCCATTATTCTTTCATTAATTTTGAACCTAACCCGGTTGGCCACTTGCATATTTAACTCCCTCTTTCCTGAAACTAAAACTTGAAATAAAGCAGCAAGTTTGGGTGGAACAAAGGTATTGAATCTAATACAGTAGCTAGTTCAACCAAGGTATTATTAACTCATTATACTACCATTAATTCTAGGATGTAGGACTCTAACAAAAACTGTAAATCTGGTCACCACAGTTGATAACACATTCATGATTTTTTTTTGTTTAAATTAAAATTGCAAGGAAGCAATACTTGTAAAATAAAATCAACTACCAGATCACACCCCTTATTTGGGCCATGTTGCATCTCAAAGTCAACTTATCTACATACAGGTGCTCCATTCATACATTCCCTATTGCATGGTGTGCAGTGGAGACTGGTTTGTGTAGACATGTGAGCTCAAAAAGTGAAAAAGAACAAAAAAGACCAACTTTATTATAAAAAGGGCTTCACTCACAGGCAGATTGCAATTCTTAAGAACATCCAAGATGACTTTATGTGACCTTTCAACTGAAGTTCTTATAAGGCTTCCAGAAACTGATCCTCCAGGCCTCTTCCTATTCGCTTTATAGGTAGGCAACAGGTTCCTCCTGTACTCATTGCCTCTTTCTCCATCAATAACCTGCAACCATTTTAGACAAACTTGCTAGGGTTCTTATCATAATATTCATCAACCTGTAATTGAAAAGAAGTGTCTCTTCTCTTCATGTTTACAATAACAAAAATTAAAATAAATTTGTAAACTTTGATCATCTTGTCTCCACCTGATAATAACAAGACCCCCACTTTAACAAGTAATGAACAGTACAATCAATCCTCTACTAATCAATTTGACCAAATTCAGAATCTCCCCTTCAAAGGGACCAAATTAGGTATGGCATTCTCTAGTTTTTCTTCACATCTTGAACAACTTTTGATCAATTTGGAAAAGTCAGGAAAATAAGATACACTCATGCGCGCAAACATAAGCTGCAAGGCAATGATTTCTTACAGCAACAACAGGTTGACCGTTGCTGACGTCAGCTAAAAATAGGGAGATCCAGTGAGCAAAATACTGGAAAGACCAGGTACCTTCATTGTAACACAGAGGATTGACATCCAAGAAAAACACCCTCTTTCTTAAACTATGATAATGAAACCCTCTACTTGTGCTACTTTTTTCTTTCAGATTATTATTATCATAGGAGTATGAAGATTTGAGTTTGGGGAAGTTTGGCTTGAGTCTGGGCTCGGCCGTTGGGGTGAAAATCAATGGGTTCTTAGAATAAGGAAATGGATAATTGCAACGGCAGTAGCAGGTCTGAGAATGGAGAATGATAGGAAAGTCGAATACTTTTGCCATTGTTGAAGTTGGTGGAATGAATGTTTAAAACTTGATGACAGACTCAGCCAAAACAGTGAAAAATACTCCCTCCTTAGAAATGTAAAAGAAACCCCATTAACTGGCCACGGGATTCTTCAACTCTCCTCAATGGGGAATCTCTGCTACCCATCAGTGTTTCGTCTGAAGAACTGAGAAGTGGGAAAAAATGGAAAGCTACACGTACACACTCTTAGGCTCTCACAGACCAGGAGTAGGTAAGAATGTGTACTAGAAGTGTGTACCCAAGTCCATCTTCAGAGGTGAATAGCTCAGATGATAGTAAGGTAGAACCGTGAGAGCAATTCGAATGCAAGAGTATGGATCCCATTTTTTATTTAACAATTTATATGTGTAGATCCCACGTATTCCTAATTTATTTTCATTTTTCATTTTGTATATCACTTTTAACTCACTTTTCATCAACTTTTCCTTCTTGAATCCCGTGTAAGGTTCATATATGGACCTTGTCATAGAACTTGGTCCATTTTTTCCCCTCTCTCCTCTTTTTCATTTTCTCCTACGCACTAATTCATCCAAATATTTATTCTATCTCTATCTCTCTCCTATACGATATCATGTGCAATGCACCCTCCCATTGGAGATGCTATGAAGGTACATTTGGTTCAGGGTAATCATTGCATGAAGGAATCTAATGAAGGAGTGCCGTGCATAGGATCATAAGGATCGAAGATTATCCATTTCCTAGTACCTTTGAACTCTAAGGGTATCGTTTGAATTTTTTTGGCAAGTTATATTCCCAAATAAAAAATGAAGGAGTGCCGTGCATAGCAATGTCAAACTCATATACTTCTTAGGTTATCTTACATCCCCGATTATAATTTTGGTTCTAAACTTACTCATGCTAATTTAATTGTCATTTTATAATAGCTCTTCAATCTTATTTAGGTCTCTTATCCAATCAATTCTGTCCAAAAAAATTCCTCTTCATTTTACAAGAATCTCCTAAATCAAGTAATTGCTCCCTCTAAATTTAATATTTAATCCTCTTTGATCTTCTTTTGATTATTCTTTAATTTTTTTTTTAATATATTTTAATTTTTTCTCCATTTTTTCAACACATTGTGTTGTTCTTTGGATTTTTCTTTAATCTTCTAATTTTCTTTGAATCATAAGCAGATTTAAATATGCTTTCCGTATATTGTGCCTATTGTTTTTAGAATTTAGTTCACTCTTTTATTAATTTGAAAAGAGAGTTTAGCAAAATTAAGTAGAGCAACATTGACTTGTTCTTTTTATACAACTAATTTGGTAATGATATATTCAAATTTATTTATTAATGTATGTCGTTGTGAATTCATTTAAACAAAACTATTTTTTAATGTTCACTTATCTATCTCTTTTGGTGCAACATCCACAATGCATCAGTCATTTGTACAATTAATCATAATTCATTTAGTTTGGATTTTTTTAATTGTTAAGGTATTTCATTTTATTCTTTAATTTAGGTTAGTTTAAATGCAGGTTGTAATAAGTTTATTGTGCTAAGAGAAAATAACTAAGTCTGTAGTATGAGATATCATTTAACCAAACAAATTAATGTGATATTCCTTTAGTCTTAACCAAACATAAATGAGACACAATTGAATAGATTCCCATCAATCTAACATATCCATTAATTTGACATTCCCAAAGTAATCTGACATTCCGTGAACCAAACGGGCCTAAAGATTATGGCCTACTACATTTAGGGATGCAAGGTAGGATGTCCAATCAATATTGAACTTCCTGTTAAAAAACAACATTGAACATTTTGGGATATCACTTTTTTCACTAATCTGAAGCCCTTAATATTTTCCATCTAGACACATGTGTCATATGGTAGAGGATTAGCATTCAGACGTTAGAGGGGCGTTAAACTTAGGGTGGACGCGGTCTGGTCCGGTCCAATATTTGGATGAACCCGTACCAGTATCGTGACTATTCAAATGGTTCGGTTCGGTACGGTTCCATTTTCAAACGGGACGGTACCATGTCATACCAATATCAAACAATGTCACTTTTTTCAAGTTTTTAAGAGGAAATTAAAGTTTAGCCATCCTCCAAATATCCACACAATTTATCAATTTTCATACTCTCTCCGTCCCAAATTGACATGCAAAGTCAATATTTTTTTATCAATCAATGTTAAAGTTAAATTCTCTTTATTGATAATTAATTCAAATTTTAACAATTAAAGTTTACATATTCAAAAACTACATACATTAAAATCTCTTCAAAGTTGCAAGCTCCAAATTATATATAATTAAAAATTGACATTCTAATTAAGTGGATAAAATGAAACTGTTTGACCATGAAAAGTTAATTTTGCAAATCAATTTGTGACGGAGGCAGTATTACATAATTACGTAGTAATAAATTTCAGATAAACTATAGTAGTACAAATTTAAATACTTAAACCATACATCAGTCCGATTCCAGACTTCCTATGAACTAGCAAAGGCGGTGAAAGTGTGAAAGCACTAGTCAAAGTAATAGTATAAATGTAAATTTAAATAATTAAATCATACTTCGGTCCGGTTCGGTCCGGTACCGGTTCTCATTTTATGAGAACCGATCATGACATTGTTTAGAACCGGTACGGTCCGGTTCTGGATAAAAACTTCGAGATCCGTTTCAAACCCCGTTTTTCGGTACGGTACCATACCGGTTCAGTTCGGTACCATGTCGGTTCGGTATTTTTGCCCACCCTAGTTAATCTGAAACCACTGCTTTTCAAAGATAGTCACAACCATATGTTATGGGGGGGTAGAGAGCTATATATGACTTCACTATATATTGTATGGTATACGACATAATCACAACCCTATATTTTCTCTAGTGAAGAAGATGGCTCAATAAGAAATAGTATCTCTAGTTTTTAATCCGGAAAGACCCCAGAGTCTTGTGCTATGTTGGAGGAGGGAGTGTAGGTTAAGTGATTCGCATATGATAAAAAGTACTGGAAAATTTTAGATGATTTTCATTTAGAAGAGACATATACTCTCTAAGTTTTCACCGTGTATATTTTTGAAATACACAGTTTGAATAGATTTAAATCTATTAAATCTGACATAATTCGGTGTTTCTCCGCATCCCAAAGCGCGTTGTCATTCTAGGTGCGCCAAACAATCAACAAGCGAGTGTACCACTTTGTTCTATAGTCAGCGCTGGGTACAACTACTCATTTTTACCATGGAGGAATTTTAGTGCAACAAGCTTGTAGTTGGGTTATCTATTTGAATACAGAGAATCAAGTTCTCACTAGATTGACCCGTATCAGAATTAGTTATTGTCCAAGATATACTATTGACATACAACCTCACGGTCTCTAACAAACATATATACTTATAAGATTATGTATCATTTCAAAATCAAGCTACTAAATATACTGTTTAGCGACTATACATTTATAAAGAGAACTTCTACATACTACAAAGGAGTTCATAACTCTATTAACTAATGGGAAAAAATATCCAAATACAAATCATATTTTATGATGATTCTAGATCACATTTACAACATGGTGTGATGTTAAAGTTTGGAGGGACGAGACCACGTATTGAAAGGGTAGTGTTGAAAGGGCATTGTTGCCTACGATGAAGCCATTCTCAATTATGAAAAAAAAATCATTCATTTGACTAAGAAGGCGTGTATGCTTTGCTAAGGACTTGGACTCTCATCTTGTGGAAGCATGATTTATTTATGTATTTCAGTGTGCGAGAATTTCTTGTACAAAGAAACACGAGCTCTTGAAATAATGTGGTTGACGCCAAATGGAGATTGATTTGGATGCACTCCAATAGTGATGCACACATATTCATGTTGACAATGGAGGTTACTATACTTGATTATATGATACCATGAGACTATGCATTAATAACTTGAAGTTACTTACTTGTGAAACCACCAATGATCAACCACTTGTTCAAATTTTGTTTGGTGCCTTTTGCCTCTAACAATTTGTGAATGAGATTTCTCTCTCATTTGAGAGAAAAATATACGGAGTATCTTTATCAAATCATAAATTTCGATATGAAATATCAAATACTACATTTGTCTCATGAACAGGTCAATGTAAATTTACACTTAAATAAGAAAATAAAATTGTATGGTCATATTTTGTGTATGGATAGAGAAGTAATATTGATTACATTTTTTTAAAGGGATGGCCATTTTTTAAGTCGACTAAATAAAGAAAGTTGATGAGTTTTATGAGACACTTGACGGCACTAAAGTCATTGTGTGTCTCAAAATAAATTCAATATTAGCGCTAATACGTAGTATAGTGAAATAGAGTTCGTATTCACAGGGAACAATATAATTCTTTTTTATGAAAATGTAACCGAATGGAGTTTTAAGATTTGTGTGAACTTGATAATATTATAACACTAAGATGAACGAATTATGTGATTATAAATAAATAAGATAAAAAATTGATTTTGCTACTTTCCACTTGTTGAAATGTTTATTGACCCCGGTTATATTTTTAAACACCCCCTCTCGAATACGCAATCGTGGAGTATCTCCAATTCATTGAGGATACTTATTGATAACGAGATCGTTCATCGATGACTCTTACTATTAGCCAAGTATAGAATATCACCATATACCAATTTGATGGTAGCATTTGATCTCTTAACTCCCTGGTGATAACCTCAACATAACGATTTCGGTTTAACCAACACAATTAGTCTATTTGTAGATTACTAACCATGAGACCATGCATTAATATCCTGAAGTTACTTACTTGTGAAAAAACCAATGATCAACCATTTGTTCATTAATTTGTTATGGTAGTAATCAATGTTAACAACATTAATACAAAGATAGAATAAGAGAGGGGAAAAAAAGAGAAGTTTAAGAAAATAAGAGAAGAATTGATATTTCAAAAGAGAAGTTTAAGAAAATAGCTCACAATATTAACATTTAACAAGCATCAAGATAGCAAAACAAAAAATAAGAAGTTTAGCTCCTTAATCAGAGACTAAGTATGAAAGAAATATAAATAAAACATTAATCTAAACCGAGCTTGACTGTATGGAAGAGTGGATATCAAAATGGGAAGGAAATCATGTGCATTTATAGTTTTTTTGTGAGGTTAGGTCGGACACTCGATCTGGTGTAGTCGTGTAGACGATACTCGATCAGGTATCCTGGGCAGTAGCTACAGAAATGTTGAAATCTAGTCATACTCGACTAGGTATGTCAATATATCTGATCGGGTATACGACCAAACCTGATTTTTTCACGTTCTCTTACTTTATTTGATCTTGTATGTCTCCGAGTCAAATCATACGCGATCGGGTATTGATTATAC